GATGTCAACAAATAGGCAACCAAATTTAAAGTAATGTGAATTGTTTTTCTGATTCTCTTGTGAAATTGAAATTTAATCTGAATTCAAAGTAGAAAGCCTTTTTCATCCATTAAATCTTCAGAAATATTTGAATTAACTTATATCCTCTTCTTCCAACAAAAGTGATGGAACAAACCTTAAGCAATTATCTACATCACTTACTTTTTATAGTTGCAATACAAGATGTACTAATCAAATTCTCAGCATTTGTTGTAAAGTTTCCTTTGATTTCTACATTTTTTTTTCTTCTAAAAACAATTCTCATTTAGATTACAGAATGGATTGATTTTCAATTTCATGAATATCAGTCATACAATTGATCTGGATATAGTATTTTCTTCTGTTACATTTTTTTTTTCCTATTCATTCAAACATTCAGGACTACAGAATTTTGATACTTCAACAGTGTATCAATTTTGGGATTTATTTTTTTAGCTGTTCACTGTATTTCTGTTAGCTCTGTAATGTTTGAAAATCGACTTTTGGCCATTTTTTAATTCTCTAAATGAATGCAGATAATGGCTGAACAGTCAAATTAGAAATGGTTTTGTTTGGGGGTTTTTTTTTTGTTTTTTTTTTCTGAAATTTAAAACACTTAAATTATGTCTTATTTGAGGAGAAATCCTTAAGTTTAAAAATAAACACTTAGACTAAAAAATATATTTTTCTGTTAAAGAAAATTAATTTCAGGTTTGGATAACATCAAAGTTTCCATTTTGTTGACAAGTTTATTTGTAATGATTGTCAACTTCCAGAAACCTTTCTTCTATTGATACTTATCAAGGGTTTGTATAAATATTGCTAAACTAACAAGTAAATAGTTCTACCTAAGAAAAAAAAATGTCTTGAAATCTTTTCAGAATGAAAAGTCAAGTTTCAATTTACAACATACATGACTAAGAATAATATCAATGCAATCTTTTCCAGATCAGCAAAGTTGCAGTTTTTGTTGTCCTGTATTACAAAATAAAACTTCTTATACCACCAGCCTTATTTTTTTTAAGCTCAATCATGAGTCCTGTAACACATTAGGGGCACCACAGCAGTGGTGTTTTCTGGGCAAGATAGCCAGATGGTGCTTAACCCTCTCCAAAGATTGTGTGTCTTGCTATCTACCCATAGCTGGGGAGAAAAGAAATGGATTCACACCTTTCCCAAGGCTATTTGCACATAAATGAATGTAATGAACTCAACTGGAATTCAAACTTGCCTCTATAATTTCTCAATCTGAGCTGCTATCAATTACCCCACTATGTCTCTCCTTTTAAACTACAAACTTAAAAACCAGTTTTGAGAATTAAGTATTCCTTTATTGAATAGGGGTGGGTGCAGAAATGAAAAAAAATTTACTTTTTTTTTTTTTTTTTTTTCTTTATAATTTCTGTAGCTACGGAGCTGTTCCAATTGGAAATGGTACATGGATAGTTTGTAAAGCTCAAGGAAAAATTAAATTTGTATTGGGAGTCAAACTCTGCAGCAAAAGACCAGCAAAATTTGGTAGTGATAACATGAAAAACCCTTTTGGATAATGACCCAACATTGAAATTAGATAAAACAAATGAACTTGTGTCAATCATCAATAGATGTAAAATAGGTTAAAGACAATAATAATAAAAAAAAAAGTGGGAAACTGGCTCCTACCCAAATGATTAGTGAAGCATTGGGCAACATTTCACTACCTGCATTTCTTGCTAATCATTTTTGTGGATGATTGTCAGTGGAGAAGGAAAGTGTTGAAGATAATTGATAGACTTAGTATAATTTACAGCATCAACAACTTAATATCTTTTGGAAAAATATTACTGTATATAGGGATGCTATAAAAGTTCTTGACTAAGGAAATAACCTCAAAATATTCCACTCATTTACTCAGCACACTGCATATCATTTCTGAAATTTTCTTTAACATTTTTTTTGTTTGGTTATTGAAACTCTGTGATTTAAAAAAAAAAAAAAAAATCTTCCCATTTAAGATGACTATAAATTCAAGACATTCCATGGATATATTTAGTGCTGAAGCAATTGTTTTTGGCCAAGATCTGTTGATTGGTCAATATGATGTTATAAACATGATCTCCAATTTCAATTGACACTATTGAAGAGTTTCCAGACTACACTTTGGGGCTCAAATTTTCTATATCGCTGCTTTACAGTTACGTATGATGGACATGGGTACCCCAGTGTTTGTCTTTCCTCTGAAGTTTTTGTTTGCAGAAATAAAAATTTTATGACAGCCTAGAATACAACACTTGGTTCAGTCAATGATTTGAAATTCAAAACTGACTTAGCTGTAAAGAATTTCTTTTATATTGATATTTACAAAGAATTATAGCCAGGCCAAGAACTTGTTACAACACATTAGCAGTCACCTTCAAAATTTGAGGTTGTAATTGAAGTAAAAAGGCTTTACATGGAAAAGTCAGAAAATATGATTGTCTACATTTTGTCAGTCAAAATGGGAAACTTCCTCATACAGCATTGGCATCATCAAATTTATATTCTCATCTTTACAATATACATCCAAAATTTAATGAAGTCTTTGATGTTCAAAATTTCATTGATAACATTATTACATTGCAGAAGGAATTAAAAAAAAGAATTCAGAATATTAAGATAAAGACCAGAAAGGAAAGCATTTTGATAATTAACATCAAATGTATTATCTCACTTTTTGAAATCTTTTTTTTCATACAATGCTATGAATATAGTTCTATTCACACACATCAATAAAAACTTGCTGGTTTTTGAGTACTTTTCTTCTTCAGAGACAATCATCCAAATAACTTTTATGCAAGACACAGAAACTTGTGTGCTTTTCCACTAAGATAAAACAGATTCATAAAAAGAAAAAAAAATCTGCTACAATGAAAAATCCTTGTAAAACCTCATCTGTAAGAGGTTGAAGAGACCAAAAATTTTATTTGTCAAGTGATTTCAAAAAGCATACAATCTGCAATTTATTTTAAGCATCACCGAAGTCTTGGCTGACAGACACCAACAAGTGTAAAAGTTTCAGCCAGGGTAAAATGAACTTTGCTCTGTGGTTGGCTGATGTTCAAGACTTTTTCATCTAAATCTTTGCCAGAAGCATGAAAATTGAACAGCTGTTAAAGAGATAAACCTTTCATTTAAATTTGTTAATAATTCTTTCAGATAAACTTTTCTAATTTTGTAGTTTTTTTTTTTTTTTTTGTTTTTTTATTTGATTCTCTCTCCAGCCATTTCCAAAGATTTTGCAGAAAATTCACAACCAGGCAGAATTTCAAATAAGTATTATTTAAACTTTTTGAATATGTGCATGCATGTGTTATTTCTGTTCATTAATTATGCAACTAACAGACTGAATGCCTTGTGCTTTGCTGAGAGAAAAGGAAGCTTCCAACCAATATTTATTCATTTATTTTCACTCTTAAAAGGAGAAGATTGTGAGTTTCCTTTTCTTTCCATTTCCAGGTGCATGCACCAAAAACCTTAAACAACATATCTGGCTTATAAGCTTCCTTTTTTATTTTTTTTCTTCTTGGTTGGTTGATTTTTGTTTCATGTTATTCATATATTTTGCAGTCAACCGCCAACTCCCAGTGAAGGTGGTCAGCTAAAGTCTCGTGACAATAGCTTCACTTTTGAAACAGGAGAGTCTCTGGCTGATGCATTCAGTGAAGAAATGTTAGCCTGGTATGAGGACCAAGATGCCATCAAAAAGCATCCAACTTTTGTTTGACTGTAAACAAAAATAATGGCAGGAGTCAGATAAAATTTGAGGTTTGAATGATAACTTTTCTTGGCTTGGCCATATTTTTAGTTTTTGCTTGGAAAGACCTAAAAAGTTTTTCATTTTTAAAATCTTTGAATCTATCTAATTGAAAAGGTGAATCAAGTGGTAATTAAATTTAAAGGTTGATTTTTAATTTTTACCCACTTTTTTTCTTTACAAACCCCATTGGAAGAGAAAAAATTTTTTTAAGTTTTTGCACATTAAATAAAGAAAAAGAAAATACTTGAGTGAACAGAAAACACTAGATTTTTTTTTTTTTTTTAAATAACCTTGATACTTGTTTAGGATGAATCAATAAGACTTTTTTTCTTTTCTCCCAGGTAAATTTGCAGAAAGAAGTCTGGTTTCAAGCAGGTTTCCTGTATACAATACAGGAGATATTTCATTGCCATGGACTGTACCTTCCCAACCATTGGATTTTGGCAGCTCTAACTGACGTTTTGTTTACAAACATGTATGGACTTAGAAGTATCTTGGGACTTTTCTGGTTCCATCAGTCATTTGTACTCCACCTGCAGAAAGTTACCGACTCAGATTCTGACAGAGCTAAAAAGAATCGGACAAGTTAAAAAACTTTGCCCCTCTAAGCAAAGATTTCTTTTAAAACAGGGAAAGTACAAATGGTTTAATCACCATTGTTGGGAGGATTTTTATGCCTCAAAGTGCATTATGTTTATGGCAAGTAAATATTGCTATAAATTGATAATTCTCTTAATACTACCCACGTTTTGGTGGGAATTGAACAAAAAGTTTGTGTCTCACTTGACACTCCCTCACAGTTGTTGCAGCCTTTGAAGCCATTCTTGAAATTCCAACCTGATGTTTCACATCAGACCACAAATTCTTCTTCCCTGAAATATCTTTATCTTGGCTGTTGACTTTAAAAATTGGTGCAGTTAATGCTAAAAATTGTTACATTATTTTTTTTTTTTTTTTTTTTAATAGATGGTTGTGACAGAATTTGACCTTTTGCTCTCCCTCTCTTAAAAGTTTACAGCTGTTCAGAAGGAAAGAGAGCAATCAGTACAAAAAGAAAAACATTGATTGTTGATAATTCAAAAATACAATATTTACTTGTTAACTTATTTTGTTGTCATGTGTATTTTTCTTATCTTGTTCAATAGCATCAAAGAGGCACACTGTTTCTTCGCAGAAGATAAGACTTTATTTCTCTCTCTCTCTCTAAATGAACATAAAGGTTGTCACTTTATCTCTAAGTTGCAAAAATCTCAATCCCTCTCAAATATATTTTTTAACCGCATTAAAAAAAAAACAAAAAAAAACAACAAAGGAAACTTTCAAATAAAGCCACAGCAATTCTCCATCCTTAACATGCACATGTTGAGACAGTAGTTAATCTTGATTTGAAGGGTTGGGTTTTTTTTTGTGACCATTTAAGTCCTTCCAAAGGCTGAGAGAAAGACTGAAGTAAAATCAAGCCAAGTTGCCATTTTTTTTTTTTTTTTTTGTGCAGCACACAAAAGACCAAATGCTTCACCCACAACGGCTAGAGCAGAAATGATGTCCCAAACACATTTTCTTGCTGTTGTTCAGACTGGACATGAGCAACTAAATATTTTTAAGGGGAGAATAACCCTACCCAAATATTTTCTTCTAGCAGTTCTAAAATAAATAATCCCAATTTTTTCTGTAATGATATGGGTAGCTAAGAACGAAAGAGAAACATGTGCATGGCACATTTTTTGCCTACAAATTTTCCATATTCCATCACTTCATCTTGGTCGTTGGCTTCTGGATTAAGTGCATGGTAAATTTCGTATGACATCTCTTCTCGATCATGAAAAATTAGGATCCCATCTGGGTTAACTTCGCCATCTTCATCAACTGTTCAAAGAAAGAAAAAAAAATGTCCTGGTTAAAAGACAAACTTTTTATTTTAAGTGGGAGAGGAAGGAGCTTTTCCTCTGTACAATGCAATTAATATGTAATAAGAGGATAGAATTAGTAAAAGTTTATTGATGTTTACCCAATCCCCACCAGAAGAGAATTGCTTTGAAGATTCTTACCAACTGTTGATTCTGCAAAACGACAATATCGACTTTGATTAAGTTTGGGAATGCACTTCTCAATTGGATGCCATGTGTACGTCTCGGGACACAATAGGTATGAAGGAAAATACTGACCCTGGAAAAGTGGCAAAGAAGAAAAAAAACTAAGTCATATTTGAGAAGAATGTGATCCAAATTCAAAGTGAACACCAATCACACTTACTTTGTATCTCATTTTTGGACAGGAATGAACATAATATCCCATGTAGTAATATTCAATCTTGGGGTGCACACGATGGATGGCTCGTGTCATTGCAATCTCCCTACAATAAACAAATATTTCATTAAAATTACTTTTCATCCTCTCTTAGTCATTTTCTCAATAATTTGACTTTGCATAAAAATCATTATTCCTCCCAAAGATTACAGAATAGGAAAGTAAAAAATTGCTGCAACTCGCTTAAAAGAAATATTAATAAAACTCATATGTAATATCAAAATTTATTCAATGTGGCTTCCATCATTTTCAATTACAATCTCAGAAAGCTGCACATTGGTGATAGGAGGGTTTTAACTCAACTTCTACTCCACCTTGGATGTGTGGGTGGGAGCACTACACTAGGTACACACATTGTTGCTCTTTGTGTAGTTGGTCTTGAGCTATGAATAGGCATCAGCATCCACCTTTTCTGTAAAGATGGATGCTGATGCTTACTGTCAAGAGTATGGTGAGAAGAATTGAAATGCTCCCTCAGAGGCAATGACACCTGACTGTGTTTGATACTGAAAGTGTCCTTATCTGAGATATTTGAGTACATTCTTGTATCTTCACAGCCTCCTGGTCTTCATGGATTTTGTAAAATGCCTTGGTATCTATTATTTAAAGCCCAGATAATCATGTTCTGATAATCTTTGGGTCCACTTGGCTCAGTAGATATTACGTCTAGATGTTAAGTTTTGTAAATGATGTCCCATTTCCACTTCTTGGAAAAAAAAATGTGTATTTATAGCTGAAAACATACTTATTCTGCAGTTAGTTTCACACACATTAATTAGTATAGTTGTTGGTGAGAAATTATAGTTTAAATTTTGTTTCCACAACCTGTAAAAATCCACTCAAATTCTCTGTTTAAAATAAAAGTGTTACAAAATAGAATTGTTCTAAGTTCATTAATGGAAATTTTTTTTAATATCATTCCCCAAGAATCACATAAATCCCATCGAGCTTACCTGAGTGCAGAATATGTTCCAAGAGAGAGAAACGAATATTCAGGATCATAATAAAAATAGACGGAAGAAATGCAGTGAGGCAAAATGTCAATGACACCCACCGCAATTATTTTGCCATCAAGGATGTAGTGCTGGTGAAAAGAACCAAAACCAGTTGGAAGGCCAGGACCCAGACTTCTTGGCTACAAATAACAATGTAACAAATCTTTAGTTGCTCATATTAATACTTAAAATGTTAAATTAAAATTGTCTCTTTAAGAAATGGTTTTCAGATTTTACAAGTTTAATTATTTTGATAAGTATTTTTAAGAATGCAGATTAGTTTGTACAAATAGGCAATAAAAAAAAATGTAAAACTTTTTGTTTAACTTTATGACTTGAATGATATTGTTTGGGGGTGGAGGGAAACAAAAATGCTTTACTACCTCTAGAGGTGAGTTGACGAGAAAATCTCCAAATTGCTGTTTTGTGCACTCTGAAGATTTTTCCTTGTGAATCGTCATCTGGTAACGTCGGAAGATGGTGTAGGAATCATCAAACGAATACTTGAAGTCTGTAGTGGGCGGGTGATTCGGGACCAACTTTATCTAGGTAAGGCATGAAAAAGGAGAAAAAAAAAAGGCCAACAGTTATTACCTCAAAGGCCAACGGGGAATCCACAAGGAATCGTGTGTATTGCTTTTCAGTGGGTTTCTCGGGAGGATTACTATGCACAGTGGTTTGGTATTTATAGTAGGTATGATGACTTTCTTTGAAAGAAGACTCAAATGCAGCACTTCGAGGCTTTGAGCGGACTAGTTTTATCTGAAAGAACAATTTGGTAGGGCAGTTTTCAATTGAGGTAACCAAACGAGGTAAGCTAAAAAAACCTCTTAATCAAATGGTTACACTCACTTCAACTCCATTGCACTAGTTCAGCAATCAGAATGATATAGCCAATCTGACAGATTGAGAAGGAGTAAAGGTTAGTGAATGAGGTTTGCATTGTTACACACTAGAATTAGTAGCAGTGCACCCACCAATTTAAATTTGCCTATAGTGGAATCTACAAAAGCATCCATGTGCAGAATGTTGTTATCTAAAAAAAAAAAAAAAAAAAAAAAAAAGAATTGTTCATGTGAATAAATACCCCAACCACCTAATAGGCCATTAGATGAATGAGTGAAGATAAGTTCAATTTAGAGAACATTTGAGCACAAAACTAACAAGCAAAAAATGTTTTTGGAAATCTGTAAACATTTTCATACATTTTTTTTAATGTGCTTTTATCAAAAACTTTATTTTCCCATTCTGTGTTGATAAAAGAAAACCTAACACTGTACAATAATGAAAATTACTTTTAAATTGATTGGAAGTTTTTTGGGTTTTTTTTTTAAATTTAATCTAAGTTCAGAGCTAGCTCCCAACTTATAAACAAATATTGTGGGCTATAAAAATTTTTGTCCTGTTCAATTAGTACAGACTTCCCAAACACTTATGAGCAATTTAATTTTCATTGAATATGTTCCTTAAATTCAGATTTAGACCAAACTTGGTTTTATGCAACAAATGCTGAAGAACCATATTGAAACCAGGAAAGAAACTTTAACCCATTGAACAAAAATAACAAAATAAGGAAGATAAAATTGATCCAAATTAGAAGGAATACTTTTTATCAAATGCTTATAAACAGAATAATTTAAGGTGTTTGCTTGAAATGCATTCTGTTAACGTCTGTAACCCCTTGCATTTTAGTGGTTTTAATGCTCTGCTTGGGGTGAAATGATTAAAAAGAAATTATTGTAAATATGAAACGTGTTTAGCTTTTATACATCTCAACTAATTAACTGTAGTAGAAATTCCTGCCATCATCTGCAGATTAAGGATTTCTAAATGAGAGACATAAAATGAATGTTTTCCTTCCAAACAATTAAATATTTACAGAACAAAATTCATTAAACATTGTAGAATTTTACATGATTGATCAATTCTCACAAAATTATTATTGACTCATTGATAAGATGCTATTTTTACAAATCCATTGATTAATTCAACTAATTTGTTAACCTCCCCCCCCCCACCTATCCAAACACACATGCATATCTTCAGTGATCAGCACCATAGGAGTACAGTAGAGACGTAATGGGGAAGGAAAAACAAATTTTTTTAACTTCATTGTTCAAAATTCATAAATTACAAATAGATTTATAAAAACACAAATACTTTATACTTTTTATGTCAGAATAAAAGATTTCCTGTTAAAATATGAAATTAATTTATATATTTGCAGATATTAATGTTTTTTAATAAAAAGAAATTGACATGTAGAGTCTGGAAGTTTACAAGTTACAAAATTCCAAACAAACTAATTTACAGGTTGGCAAATATTGCTAATTTACCTAACAGAATTTCAAGAGACAAATTTTCTAAGACAGCTTAATGGAGTGAGAAATAGTGGAACGAAATCAATTTGTTGAAAGTAATGGGGGGGGGGGTTTAAAATGAATGGTAAAGTTTTCAGAATTTTTTTATTACATGAGATGAACAAGGCAGAGAGCAATGTAGGTAGTTTGTTGAAACTAATAGTATATTAAAATGATCCTTAAAAGAGGTTTGATGGCATGAAATAGCAAGAATACCTGACAGTAAAGTCTTTAAAGAAAGCTTGTTTTATTCAATGTATCTAGAAAATTGATTTTATTCAATAAATGATGCTAATGTTGGAAAAAACCATTGAATTTGGACTCATTTTCATTACTTGGATTTAATGAGTTTTCCTTAATTATTTTAAATAAGAAAAACTCATTAAATCCAAGTAATATTAATGCATTCTGTCCTACTCCCCTCCACACACACATTTTTATTATTAATAAAATATTATTTTTAATTATTAATAAAACATTACACAGTTATTTAAGTACTCCAAATTTAAAATAATTATTTCAATAAGTGATGCTAATCTGTTGTT